ATCAAGTATTAGAACCACCTTTTGGACCACCTACTTCAAACCAGGGGGGTAGTATATTAGCAAATTTGAATAGTGGTAATGGAATATCAAACCTGGGAGGTAACCCACATGCAAGAGACAATGTCCAAACCAATGGACAGAACACCCCGCGAGTCAATGATGCGAAAATACTCAGGCTAACGGTAATAATGGTTTAAATAACGACGTTTTTGCCACAAACCAAGGACCAAACATTAGGCCTCAAGTAATTCCACCAATGAATCAACCTATAGAAGTCCATATGATCCCAACGTTGTGTTGATGAATCAAATTATGGAGATAGTTCAGGATCAAATGACTTTTGGGATACGTTCTTTTATTAGGCCGACTTATACAAAGATATATCCTGATTAGGTAGATCAAACATATCCGTGGCCTAGAAGGTACAAAGTACCAGAATTTTCATTATTTATCGGTTTGGGAGAAGTTTCTACTTAGGAACATATAGGGCGATTCACACTGCAAAGTGGTGAAGTAACTAATTATCACAAAATGAGATTGTTCCCTAGTTTGTTAACAGGAGTAGCTTTCTCATGGTTCATTAATTTGCCAGCAAATTCTGTCCAAACATGGCAACAACTAGAACAATTCCACGCTCAGTTTTACAAAACTGAATCTGAAGTTATTTTGGCCGACTTGTCGAATTTATGTCAAATGCCAAACGAATGGGCATAATGTTTCTTTCAAAGGTTTAAGACAGCTATGAGCAAATGTTTTGTACCTTTGCCTGAAAAAGAATTCGTCAAAATCGCTCAAAATTGTTTGAGTTTTGATTCAAAAAAGAAATTCCAAGACAGAGAATTTCCTGACCTTTTTCAGCTGAGTGCTAATGTGATTAGATATGAACGCTTGATAAGAGAATAAGAACAAATGAAAAACTCTAGCAAAGGGACTTATTATAGAGACCCAAATTTTGTTTCGCCGAATTGATTAAGGGAGATGCATATGCTTGTCCTATAATGGCCAAATTTAGAATATCAGGTAAGGATGAGCCTGTAAAAAATGAAAACAGAAAGGCTAGGATATTCTCATTTGATGTGACCAAGACTGACCTTATATTCGATAAATTGTATAAGGATAAATAGATAAAATTAAGCGACAAGCATAAATTGCCAGACCCTGAACAAGTTAAGGGTAAAAAATATTGTGAATGATACAATGCATGGTCACATATGACTAATAATTGCTTCGTCTTCTGTCATGTATTACAGGATGCCATTGAGTCAGGGAAATCACATATGAAGCTAAGAAGAAAATGGCAGTGGATGAAAATTCTTTCCCACGACCACTTGGGGTGAACATGGTGACCACTGGTTTCAAAAATAAGTTGCCAAGATTCAAGTTGGTAGTCATGATGGAGAAGAAGATTCTGAGTCATATCCCAGTGTTTTTAAACGTATCAAAGGAAAGGAGCCTAGAGAAGACGAAGGCTTCTTGTGTGCTAGATGCAAAGGAGAATTGAATGAAAATATGGAAAGACCAGGAATGTGGCGATATCACCAACGTCCTGATGTTGTCCCAAATTTCCAGCCCGGTGAGTATGTCATTCTATTGGAATCCTCATTTCGAGAGGCAGTTTAGACTGATAGACAATTGGAGAACATTCAGGCCGCAACCTCACCAACCAAATGTATGGCATTCGTTCCAGTATAACGCAGGAAGGGTTGTACCCTTCAACGAAATGACCAGAACCCAACAAAGGCGTTTTCAATAGAACTATGGACGAATGATGAGGCAACAGCAAGGATCGTCACGTCCTAAGGCACCTANAATGTTCTTAAAGATAATAAAGAGGATATGGGCAAATCAATGGAAGAGTTACCAGAAAGTTCTTCTAGGAGATCAAAATTTGAGCGTGAGAAGAAAGATGAAGAAGATCCAGAGCGACCCCTCACTATTCAATTTGGTACATTACCTCCCATTATGGCTAATAATTATTTAATGGCTAATAATTATTTACTAGCCAATGAATTCAAAAGTAAGGAAAATGAAGAGGAGGAAAGGGAAGATAATGAGGAAGAAGCTGTGCTAGAATGTGAAGAAGGCCAAACATATCAGGAGGTATATGATGAAGAAGAAGACAACGACATTACTGACGTTGAAGAGGAAATTGACTTAGAAGCAGAGAGAAAAAGAAGAGGAGTGTCGTGCAATAATTTATTGAAGCAACTGTATCAGAAAGGTGTCCGCGAGGTGGATTTGTTGGGCGAACCATCTGGGCGTTCTTTTGACTACTATGTATTATATAGGATGCCCAAGAGAAAGGTGAGAGTGCCTTACTCTGAGAAATATGGGTCACCTCCAAGAATATTAGCTCCTCCTACAAGTTGTAACCAAAGAAGAAGCATTAGAAGAAAATAAAGAGGAAATCCAAGAAGCAGAAATTCAATATGAAATATTGCACGTGGACTTGTTACAAGGAAATAATTCAACGGAGGATAAACAGGAAGTGGAAATAGATGCGGCTGAAA